AGCTTATTTCAGCTTTCAGCTTAATTTAAGCTATTTTGATGTGTTTAGTTTAACTTATAGCTTATAGCTTATAGCTTTTTGGAAGTCAAAAATCAGCTTATTCTTTGAGTGAGGCAGGCGGTGCTTTAAGAATAAGTTGGAAATCAGCTTAAGCTGAAAGTTATAAGTTATAAGCTGTTGAGGCATAAGCTATAAGCACTTTCCCACAGCTCTACCAAATAGGGCCAATATAGCTTATAACTTTTTGTAAGTCAAAAATTAACTTATTCTTTGAGTGGGGGCGGAGAAGCTTAATTTATAAGTCAAAAATCAATTTATGTTCACAGCTATAAGGTATAAACTGTTAGGCTATAAGTTATAATTACTTTCCCACAACTCTACCAATCGGGGCCTATATCACTAGAGCTCTTTTTAAGTTTCAAAATTAAAACTTTCAATCTTTATTCTAAAAATTTTAATTTATTCATATTTTAGGGTAAATTAGACTGACACTTTGAAATTTTTATTTAATATAGATTCTCTTTACATTTAAATAATAACACTTATTTCCTTTTTAGACTATCTTTTAATTTTTATACATATAAAATAATATAGATATTTTATTCATATCATTTTAAAAGAAATAACAATTATCTTTTTTAATTTAGCTCACACAAAAAATTGATTTTTTTTCATTTTTCATGTTTTTTTATTTTACTAAATTTTTTTAATATTTTATGCATTTATTTTATTTTATTTTTTAGATACTACTAATTTAGATATACTTAAGAAGTATAATATTTTGTGATTTTTTTTTAAAATTCACTAAATACAAACAAATAAAGAATACAAAAATTCAATATATTATCTTATTTTGTTGTATTCAATGAATTTTGAAAAAAAAAATTGTACAAATTTTATACTTTTTTAATCTAGATATAATAGCGGAAATAAAATATATATATATATATATATATTTATTTATATATAAAATTTATACAAAAAATATCATAAAAATGTTATGAAAATGATATTGTTGTAAATATAAACTATGTTTATGGGTATTTTGTTTTAAGGCGAAAGATCACTATTAAGTTATATCATTGTGTTTGAAAATTTTATATAAAATTTATGTTTATATATCATCACTTAATAAGAATATGTTGAGGTATAATTTACTGATGGAAAGTTAGTGTTTTAGGAAGTTGGTAAAAAGTTAATTTTTTGACTTTTGACTTTTTTGATGTTTTTTTTGGCAAAAAACTGGGTTGTTTTAGGGAAAAAAATTGATTTTTTTGGCTAAAAAAGTTAAAAAGCAAAAAAGTTGACTTTTTACCATTGTTGCCAAAACAGTCATGATGATAGGAAGAAGAAATGATAGAAAAAAATAACAAAATGATCATTTAAAAAATTTTAAGACATAACATGAGCAATCTTTGAAATAATTTGTAATATTACAAATCTCAAGAAGAAATATAATTTTTTAAATGTGAGAAAAAATTTAAATCAAACAAAAATGTGTCACTATAATTTGCTTTTAAAAATAAAATATACAAAAATATGAAGAAAGTATTGAGGGAAGTTGTTTGGGATAAGCCCACATGTGGGCCTCACAGCAGCAAAACACACTCTCTCCCTGTCTCTCTCTTTTGAGACAAGACTGCCCCACCCCACCCGACACGAATCAGGATCCTCTCCTTGCGGCCTCTGTCCTTGCATCCGTTCTTGCAGACTTTTGGGTCTACTTTTAGACCTAATTTTGAAAATCTGAATCGTCATATTTTATGATTTATTCAGTATATCATACTTATAAAAAATCAAGTTGATCGGATATCAGAAAGTATGTGTTCGAAAAATTGAACTAAAAATTATTTTTTAAATAATTTAATAAACAGTTTTCCGAACACATACTTTCTAATATCCGATCAACTTGATTTTTTACAAGTATGATATACTGAATAAATTATAAAATATGAACAATTCAGATTATCAAAATTGAGCCTAAAAATAGGACCGAAAGCCTGCAAAGACGGGCGCAAGAACCGGGTGCAAGGAGACACTCTTGACTCCACCCGACACACCTTCGCTGCTAAATTTCTTGACAGCCCATTTTTCGGTTTCTCTGCTACACACCCGCAAATCCCAAATTCTTCTCTCTGAACGCTTGCGTGCCTAAACAAATCATGGGTTTTTCTCTTTTCTTTCATGCCATTTTTTCTACCCACACTCTGCACACAAAATGCTCGACGGAACGCCTCAGAACAAACTAGACATGTTCATGGCTTCGAATTCGAGTCCACTGACCAGTCTCTTCAACGAAGCAGCGAACGAAATGGCCATTGAATCAGAAAACAGTTCTGGGTTTGTTCCATATCATCATTTGCCAATGATTCTTCCCGAGAATGGCCCAAAAAGGCGCGCAGAGACTTGGGTTTTTGAGGAAATTCAGTGTCTCATTCATTTGCGGCGAGAAGTGAATTGTCAATTCAATACTGCCAAATCGCAGAAGCATTTGTGGGACCAGATTTATGTGGGGATGAGAGAGAATGGGTGGGAGAGAACTCCGCAGAATTGTAATGATAAGTGGAGGAATTTGTTGAAGGAGTACAAGAATAGCAATGGAGGAATTGGGTCGTCGAGACAAGTGTGTTTTGATGAACTTGAAGAGTATTGCAGAGAGAAGAAGAGCAATGGAATCAGTAAGAAGTTGAGGGATGGTTCTTCTGTTCAAATTCTTGATAAGGGTGATTGCAATCTCATTTTTCTCTCCGTAATTGATCATGAATTTGGATTATCTTGTTGGATAATCTTTTGTAGTCTTTTATGTGTTTCTTTGTTGAGTACTTTGCTTTGATTGATGTTTCCAATGGCTTTAATGCATTCTTGGTAATTGGCCTTCTTGCTTCAATTTTCAGTTGGTTCTATTGTGAGTGGAGTGGAAAATTATGATTTTTTTTTTAAATGTATTATTATTATTATTATTATTTTTTGAGTAATTTAGCATCAATTAAGTCAGTTTAAAAAAAGTTTACTAAGATGGAAAATAAGTTAATTTGATAGGCTGCTTTGACCACAAGAAAAAAAAAAAAAAAAAAAGGCTTTTTTTTTCCAGTTTAAAAAAAGTTTACTAAGATGGAAAATAAGTTAATTTGATAGGCTGCTTTGACCACAAAAAAAAAAAAAAAAAAAAAAAGGCTTATTTTTTCTTTAGTAAACTTTTTAAAACAATTTTCTTAAGTTTAAAAATTTTCAGGTCTAATTGAGATGGGTCTAAAAATTTTGACATAATTTTAAAAAAAGTTTACTATGACAATAATAAATTGATCTTTGTTTTATTGGCGCTGGTTACTTTCAGCTATCTAAGTTTTCATCTTTGTTTACTACTTTGCTATCATTGAAATCCTTGACATTTAAAATCATAGGGGAATTTACTTGGCCTACATTAGATTTGGTGCACCTTTAAGCTTTTTCTCACCGAATTTTCTCAAGCCAAGCCCTTTAGAAGCACAATACAAGTTGGGATTTTTCTTTTCAGGAAAATTGAGTGAGTTAATTTATTTCTATATTAGATCAAACAAATTTGACTGTGTTGGTATATCATTGAATTGGTCTCTTCTAATTTATTTTCTTATTTAGTCTTATTTAGTTAGTACTTGATTAGGGCATTGTCCTAACAATGTAGCATTATCTTTTGCATCTCACACTCCATTTGTTTGGGCGATTTTTTTTTTCTCTATATTTTCTGGCGTTTGGTACAATAGAAAATAAAAGTCAACGGAAAACAAGCTTATTTGGGTAGAAATTTTTTTTTCATTTTTAAAAGACGGAAAATGTTTTCCGAACTAAAGTTTTACCAATGTCAACACACTACCACCGCTATTCTCACCTCCACCACCACACCACCATCACCACAGCCACCGCTACCATCACTGCTGCCGCCACCCCACCACTTCCACCTCCACCTTTGTCCCACCACCACCACCAATACCACCCAACATAGAAAAATGTTTTCTTCGGAAAACATTTTCTGGAAAAAAAAAAAAATTCATAGAAAATGTTTTCCACCCAAACAAATGGAGCATTAAAATTTGTAATGAAAATGTGATGGGCTGGATTTAATTTCCATGCAATATACCAAAGTAGCAACAAGGCTTGACCAGCCATAAATGGGAAAATTAACAAATAAATAAGTAAACATGTAAAGCACAGCATGTGCAACAACTGAAACTGATGTTGTTAGGCAATGACCTATTGAATGTCAAGATCGAAGTGAGACTGTCTTATCAATTATGCAAGGGAGGCAAATGCACATTGTCCTTTTTGAGTGTAATCTCTGTTAGGAATTTTCATTGTTATCATTTATTGACTTAGGTTACTGAATGATTTTTTGTAGGTACTGACGAAGCCGGTTTTCTGTTTGGACCCAGTGAAGGTAGAGTACAATGGTTTGAGTTCTTTTGATATCTTAGAAGACTTATTTGTTTGTTTGTTTTTTTATAATTCGTAATCACATATACTAGTGAGGCATGTTTTCAAATATGTTGTATTTCATTGTTGGTGGGTGCCATAGGATGTTGGTTTGAAATGTTGAAGTTTAAATGGACTTGTTGAATTTAATTCATAGGAGTCTCTCTTGCCTCTTTTTATTTATTTATTTTTATGATAAATATGAGTCACTAGCCATTTGTACGAACCTTTGAATGATATTTTTTTTTACACGTATTGTCTTTGTAGAGAAAATGAAATAGGGATTTTTCTCTCCAAAACTCGCCTAAAGTTTGAAGGAGGAGACAAGTATGATAACAAAGAGGACTGAAATGAGTTGAAAAAAAGGGAAAATGACTATATTATGATACATGTGATAATATTTAGCATTCTTGTAGTTGTAATGAAAAATATAACCCCTCTAAGAATTGTCTAAAAATATAATCCCTACGAGATTACCCCACTAAAAATATAACCCATATAATAATAATAATAATAATAATAACCAAAAAGAATCGTCTTGTTATAGGTTTACCATCATGCCAACCGCTATTGTGTGGGAAAAAAAGAAACAATCATTTGAAGATGGTGCATATCAACATGGGTGCTTCAGTGCTTTATGACGGTGGCAAAGGAATAAATGTGGCTGGGACATTGGACAGGATGGCATAAATACATATTACCAATGGTGATCAAAAGCATGGCATCTGTCTTTGGGGATTAATACTATTTGACAATGATGGAAATACCTCTCTTATAGAGTGGACCACACATTTAAAATTCATGTTTAGTGATCTAAATTGGAGTGCAACATCACCACATAGACTTTAAGCTTATATGGCATGTCATCAAGCTAGGTGCCACACGACAACTTGGGATGGGACAAAATGGCCCCATAATCTCTTGCCTTGTCATCTAATCAACTTTAGTGTAATTTTTGGCTAATTTCCACTTGCCTTGTTGAAAATTATTTGTTACATATCATTTTTAGGAGTAGAAGTAACATACCCTTGATGCTTGGCACCTTCTTGGGTTAGGTTGAGAGATCATAAAGTTGTGTGCTCATGCATAATGAACTGTGTCACAGCCTCAGCATAAGGTCCTTAGGATCATTTGGTTCAATGGACAGAGTTAAAGCTAGCTGGCATGATGACCCTTTCGCTTTTGCTTGAGGGCACCAACTCATCTTCAAACGCATCTTGTGTATAGAGAACTTTTTCCCATTTTAATAAATTCTCTGTTAATCACACTATATCAGCCTAGTTGTGCTGTGACTTGATGCTCAAACCCTTGATGCTTGGCACCTGTACATGTTTGGGTTGGGATGAGAGAGCATAAGGTTTGGATACTTGTCCACAATAGACTTTGTCACAACCTTAGCTAGGAGGCCCTTAGAGCTATTCGGCTTAATAACTAAACCTGGGACAAGTTAACATGGTACCATATCATCTTTTGCTCAAGGGAAACAATATACATTTGGAGGACTTGACGAACTAGGAGAGCCAAAGTCATCTTCTAACACATCTCGCATGTGGATTACTTTTTTGCTGTATTGACATGTTATTGTTAGCAAATTATGTTGGCCCAAATATGTTGTGAATTGTGATGGCTCTAGAAGCCTAGGAGATGATGTTTTGATATTAGGTGTTTGTGTTTCTATCGGCAATCCCGTCATCTTTCATTTACTTAAAAAATTTATTTGTATATTGTGTTGCGGAATAAACCACACACACACACACAATAGTAAGAAAAATCAATCACAAACAAGAAAAACACGAGCACCAAGATTGTTGTGTCCTTCCATCAAGGAATGGATTCCAAATCGAGTGATCATGGTGTCAGCTAGCCATGTCATCGATAGATGGAATTTTGCATTTTAACTCCAACAACTTGGTGGTTGAGCTCAACAGCCATATTATCAATTGCGAGTGAATTTGTGCTTTGCCACGATGACACTGACAATGGTCTGGCTTGTATTGTCTCCATGCCATAATACCATGGATATAAATGGCTATTAGCAAATGTTTGAGCAACTATAAGTCACTGGCATCCTTTCTGCCTTAGAAATGTGGTGACAATGCCTTTTGGAAACCCATCTTGTCATTTCTTGGCACTGTGGCTTGCTTAATTAACACCAAGTGATCTTATTTGTGCTTCCTTTTATGAAACAAGGTGTCACTAAAAATTTTACTAGTTTTTTTATATGTTCTTGTAGCAAAATAGCTAGCACAATCTAGCATAATTAGTTCAATGTTAGATTGATATAAAATCAAATGTAAGAAGTTGCCATTGTGATGTAAAAACCTGACTTATGACCTTGGATTTTGATTCTTAAAGAAGTCAACAGTATCAATTTAACTAGAGGATGGTAATTGCCTTTAAGAGTAATGAACATCGCTATCTCGATTTGCAGTAATTGCCCCAGCATTTTGTAATTATTGTTCGCAACCTGATTTTCATTAGTTATTCAGTTTCTGTTGTTGGAGTTACAATTCTTGCAATCATGCCATTTCTATTTCTTGCTATTGCGCAAAGTTACTTGGTTGGAATTGTCTTGTTTTATTAACCTATTGAATATTGTTGCTGTTGTTGGAATATTGTTGCTGTTGTTGTTAGTTGGTGAAACATTTTGGCCGGTTTTCAGATAATAGTTTGGAAAGGACATATCATGACGCAGACCCCCTTGATATCCATGAACCTGAAGGAATTGTTCCCAATGAATTTCCCTCTTGGAATTGGAGAGGAACCCCTAGACGTGGTAAGTTTTACATCTAAATACGAGGGTGATTACTTCATAGTTCTAAAATGTCATTAAACCTTTATTTGCTAATTTACATACTTATGATACTAAAGTTATATGCGTTTTATTGCTGAGCTGTGTCACTAAAGAAAGTTATGAGCAAACATATTCGGCTGCCCGTCAGGTTTACTTGAGAGTAAATCATGTTTTTCTGACCTTCAAATTACAATACAACTAGTGGTGGGGGCAAACATTGCTTTGCAATTTTATGTTAAAATTTTTGGAGGGTTCGATGCATGAGGACAACCGTTTAGCAATTTTGGGCGGTTTGATGAATGAAGAAAAAACTGTTCAGCAGATATGACAATGTTCACACCAGATGGGGTGTACACTTTATATAATAGAAGAATAAATGAGGTTGAAAGTTTTCCTCCCTTTCCGTTTCAGTCATTTTGTGCTTGACACTAACATAAGTGTGCATCTGAGGATGTCTAGCATTTTTAGGTTTTACAAACATATTTAACATGTTATAATCATTACAAGGAAACTAATTCATTGAGATTTGAACTTTGCCTTGTTTTCCATTTCAGCCATTTTCGTGTGAGTCATTTATGGTTCTTAAACTTCAAATTTCAACCCACCTTTGCCATTTTTTTCCCTTCTTATTTCCAGGTTTAACACTGGCACTAGTGTGTGTTTATGAATATTCAAGAAGCATGGACACGGGCACGGACACGTGACACAACACGGACACTCAAATTTTCAAAAAATATAAGACACGACACGTTGGAGACATGTACAAAACATATAATTTTATTTATTTATTATTTCATATTTTAAAATATTTAATATTTATTTTGTGTCAAATATTTAATTTTATTTAATTTATCAACCTTAGGTATGCTATTTTAGTATAATTTTTTTTTTTTGAAAAAAATGGTCTTCAGTGTGTCCCTCGCGCGTCCAACACGTGCTTGGTGCTTGTTTGTGTCCAACACGTGTTAGGTGTCCGTCCTTAATAGACAAATATGATGTATTTTGGTTTTTACATGCATATGTCGTAGGAAATACCGAAATAAGCATTACTTTGTGTAGAAATTTAATGTATAAAGAGAAATAGAGAGAATTAATTATGTATAGAGAAATAGAGAGAATTGTATTATTGATTGATATATTTTGATTTCTATTACAATGATTCATGATTCCTATATATAGAAGAGGGTAAGTGTGTAGTAGGTAAGGAGTAGGTGAAGTGGAGGTGGTAGTGGTGTAGTGGGTTAGGTTTAGTGGAGTAGGTGAGGTGGTAGTGGTGTAGTAGGTTAGGTTTAGTGGAGTAGGTTTAAGTGGGTGAAGTAGGTGGAGAGTAGGTGGATTTTAACACTTTGGAACTTATTTATCATGGTTTAAAGGTTAAAAACTTAAAAGAGACACGAATAAAGCCCTATGCGTTGCTTAGAAGTAAAGTAATTCACGTCTCTTATAAGTTTTTAACCCTTAAACCATGATAAATAAGTTCCAAATTTCTGTTCTTCTTATGATAAAAGTTATATATATATATATATATATATATATATATTGTTATAAGGTGCATATCATATGCACTATTTCGGGGTGCACATGCACATGCACCAAATTTCTGTTTTTTTTATGATTAAAGTTATATATATGTTTTGTAAGGTGCATATCATATGCACTATTTTGGCATGCACGTGGTAGTCTTTCCCATAATATTGACAATAATGTGTTTCCATTTTTATATTGCATTTTGGTTTTCACAAGCATATTTGGAAGGCCCCAAAAGAAACTTTGGTGTAATTCATGTTTCTTGCAACATTCAATGAAATTTATCTTTCTTTTTTCCATTTCAGTCACTTCTGTGTTTGATGCTAACCAGTGTGTATCCATGGTTAAAATTTATTTTGGTTTTTTGGATATTGTTGAATTTGGCACCTATTATTAGTTTGGAAGACCAATACTTGCATAATTTTTTACAAAGAACTAATTGGTGATTTTTGAAAAAACCTTTTTCCCCCTCTTCTCTCTCTCTCTCTCTCTCTCTCTCTCTCTCTCTCTCTCTTCTTTTCTTCTTTTTCTCCTTTTTTTCTTCTTCTTCTTCTTCTTCTTCTTCTTCTTCTTTTAATCCATTTTGCAATTTCATGTATTAGTTTGAGCCAAGCGCATGAACACTCCAGCTGTAGTTCATCTCCTTCAATTTCAGGCAATACACACCGGGTGCAATTGAAGCAATTTGATGAATGTACACGTATATAAGTCTCAGCACGTGGACTTTCATCGTGATGAGTCGCCTCTTTCTGATATATTGTTTGGCAAATGCAGCGATTGACTCATGTCTTGTACTTGCCCTATAAATTTCATGTTTGAGGAAGTATTCTACCATCTTCGTGTTTAACAAAATCAACTTGCCGTGATGAGTTGTGTAGCTGGTCGATGAGTTCTGTTGCTAGTTCAAGTATCACGGGCAAGAGCTTTTGGATCTTTGATTGAAATTATTTCAAAATTATTTCTAGATGAAAGCTTTTCCTGTCTTGAAATGTTGATCATATTATTCTTCTTTTTCTTTCCTTGCAGATGAAGACGTTTCTGGATCTGGTGGAAGGGTTATATCTGTCAAATACGAGGAATCTGTTAAAAGGATTGGCATTGATGGTTCCGCTGATGCAATTAAGGAGGCAATTAAGTCTGCCTTCCGCCTGAGAACTAAACGCTCCTTCTGGTTGGAGGATGAAGCTGGGATAATACGAGCTCTTGATAGGAACATGCCGTTGAGGAATTACACTCTTCACCTTGACGATGGTAAACTCGATAGATCAATATCACCTTCTCTAATTACACAGCGAAAACCTTTCTTTTGCACTAAGGCCCTGTTTGTGATCAGTTAAGAAAAATGGTTTTTTGTCTAAGCGTGTTCTGGAAGAGCTAGAAAAACCAAAAAGATCAACTTTTCTATTTAAAAAAAAAAAGAAAAAATAGCAATTCCTAGACAAGTGATTTTTTTTTATTTATTTATTTATTTTTTAAGGCAAAAAACAAAAAAGGCACTAAAAAATCCAATGCCCAATATTTAAAAGAATTTATTTTTTCAGGCCTCCGCATAAGGATATGCCTTTTTGAGGATCCCAATCACCTGCATTGTCGTGTGATAGAGAAAGCATTTTTCAATGAAGATGTTTTCAACAGTTATCTCAACAACTGTGGTTGGATTGGTCTAAAGGAATTAAGAAGCCGTAAAAATGTTGATTCGATGAATGAGCTTCGTGCTGGGGAAGTGTACCATGGCCAGCGGAGAGTTCTGAAAAATTGACATTTTAATGAGCTTTCCTTTTTAGGCATGAATATGATGTAAATACTACCTATACCTTTTAGTTTTCTCCTAAAATCTCTTTTTATATGTGAAAATTGGTGGAACGCAATCTATACTTTTTTGTGTTTTTTGCGTAATTTTCATGTAAATAAGCATTAGAAGTTTTGGAAAGGAACTTTTTTTTTTCTTTCTTTTATTTACCGTCACCAAGAAAATTGCATCTCATTATGTCTTGCTGGTTAAGATTTTATTTTTTCGATCATTCATTTATGTTGGGAGATTATGTGTATAATGTTTCATGGGAAAGAGGAAATGTTTTCATTTGTTTGTCCCTTCGTACATACATTTAACATTTTGATTCTGAATTGATTTATATGGAGGCTACATGCATATTAGCGTGTTTAGATCCAATGTATAACTGATTTTCCTCCTTTTTCTCTTTGGTTCACTTCAATTTTACGTTATCTAAAATGGTCTTTCCAAATTTATGGAGTTTTAATGATTTATGCAAGTTTGTTTAGATTGTATTTGGATTTTGAATTTTTGTATGACAAAAGAAAAAAGAAAAAGAAGAAAAACAACAATGTTTGAATCTTAGATTTTTGTAGATTTTCTTCTTCTTTTTTTTAGCCTCCATAAATTCAAAATTTAAACAAGACTTTACATGCATCTATTAGGGGCTCAAACATATTGGTAAATCATATTAGTAAATAATTGGTAGAGTCTGTTTGGTTCAGTTTTAGAATAATAATTTAAGTATGTAGTTGTATTTTAAGTTTTGAGTTTTGAATTTTTGAATCATGATTTGAAAATAAAAAATAAAAAAATTAATTGTGAGTTTTGAAAATAGTTTTAGAATCAGCTTGTTTGGTTCCGTTTTCATAAAACAATTTTCAAAAAAAATTACTTTTTTATTTTTAGTAGTTTAATGTTTTTGATGATTTTTTTTAATATTTTAACCTTTTTTTTTTGTTCCTGTCCTATATGCTTTTTTTTTCCCTCTTATTTTGTTATTTAATATTTGGAAAATGATTTTTCCCCACAAATTTGTCCCCCCGAACAGCCCGAAATTTAGAAGAGAAAAAGAGAGAAAAGAGGGGAAGATGAGGCAAGCTCGTCACATGCCTGCCGTCGTGCCTCCGCTTGATCGTCGCAGCCCCGCCTCCGCCTCCGATCGTCACAGCTCCGCCCCCTACCTCTGCCTCCGCCTCTTCTTCTTCTTCTTCTTCTTTTCTAATTGAAAAAAAAAAAAAAAATCAAAACGACGAAACGACGTCGTTTTGAATTCGGGAGATTCGGGGCCCTCTCTTTCGAGCTACGTAGCACGATTGTTAATATTTCTCTTATTTACCTTTGAGTGTTTTGTGTTGTCCTAAATAATATTTTGTTATCTCTCTTCCTTATTGTATTGTCTTTTTCTCTCTCTTCCTACCATTTTCCAAAAACTTCATACAATCACTTGCCACCGCCATCGTTGCTGTCTATCGCTACCGCCATCGTTGTGATCTAGCACCAACACTATCGTCGCCGTCCACCACTATTGTCGTCGTTCAGTTGCCACCATTGTTCATCAACTATTATCATCGTTGATGTATGCACCACCGTAACCATCTTAAATCCACCACCACCATCGTATTTCCACCTCCATCATCATAGATATACATTCCACTATTGCAAATTGACACTTCCCGTCGCAGATCTACACTTATACCATCACCAATCCACTTTTACCATCGCTGATCTACACAGATCTAGTTTGTTTTAAGTGATGAAATTTACTTTAAACAGTGGTGATTTTTTAGATCTTGCCCATTTTTCTTTCTCTTACACACACACACTCTCTAATTAGATATGCTGCAAATTCTATTCGGATTCAACTTTTTTTCAATGAAAAATTTATCAGCCCCCCTCTCTCTCTCACATCTTCTTTCTCTTCTGTGTATGTGAGGAATGATGATGGATTCTTATAAGTAAAAGTGAGTGAAAAAAAATTTCGTTTGTAATTTTTTTTACAAATTGATTAGTGATAAATTTATCCCTGTTAAATTATGATTGATTTTATTAGTAATGAATTTATCATTGAATGCGTTTTTGATTAATTTATTAGATTAGTGTTTATTATTTTTTCTCGTGTATTTGTCTACGTGTGGTTGCATTTCTATGAGTGAATAAGTAGAAAAGTAAATAATAGTGAGTGAGTGAGTGTATGAGAATGAACGATTGAGTATTGTTTGCGGTGATAGTAGTAATGTGATGATGATCGATGTTTACTTTTGTTTAAAAAAAAATGTCACGAAAAACTATTACTAGAGATGATCGTTGGCAAGCGAAGGTGATATTTGGTGAGAGAAAGTACTGTCAAAACAGTGTGAATAATAGAGACAAAAAAAATAAAAGAACGAGGACATTTTAAACATGGAAGCTTTTTTAGTAAATCTCTTTTCTAAGAGTTCTATTCCATTTAACTCAAAATGTTTTTGAATATTCCATGAGGTTCTATTCGATGTAATAAGACCAAATAGTCCCAAGCCCTCACATACGTATTTCTATTCTTGAAATCAAACCCTATGAAAACACTCCATTTTCATCATTCCATATTCCACGCAAATAATCTCTCCTTCCCAAAACCCTCACTGTCATCTCTCTTAAACCCTAGGGTTAGTCATCTCTTCCAAATCCTAGGTTTCACATCGTGTCGTTCACCATCCTACTATCATTCCACTATCGCCGAGTCATTGTCGACAACTGGAAACATAGGCCAAAGTAACGATTCACTATTGCGGAAGTTTACATCGATTCGATCTCACCAACATCCCATCATCTAACCGTCGTTCGTTCATTGCCAAGGATTTAAAGACACCGTTGTGCAAAAGTTCACATCAATTGATGTGTATAATCGACCAAAATGAGGAACAAACGTAAGCACCCATTATTCTCCCTTTTTTTTGGTTCAATCTGAATTCCAAAATAGCTATTTGATAAATGTCGTTGTTGTGTTCTTCCTTTTACGTTTGATTATAATGAACTGATGTGAACATTTACATCATGTGGTAATCATTCTTGTCAGTTGGTTGTAATATGATATTATTTTGTAATATTATAATTATTTTTTCTCCTTTTGTGAATGTTGGCCTTGTTGGTGTTCTTGATTGTTAATGATGGCATGGAATACGGTCCATGTAAATATTCACACTATTCTTCTCCCCTCTTTTTGGTTCAATGTGAATTCCAAAACAATTATTTGATATTATTGTTGTTGTGTTTCCTCTTTATGTTTGATTATGTTAGAAATTGGGCGCCCATGTGGCATGACCCTTAAAACCTTTTTAACCTTATCCAAATGGATTTTGAATTTGAATTCAAATCTATGTGGATAGCCACTCATGATATATATCTATCATATCATGATATGAATAAATGATATAGATATCAGATATTATCTCATATAACAAATATGGATAAATGAGATAAATAGATTATATATCTGATATATGGGATATGGGTGATTGTGTGGAAAAATAACGTATGATTTGAGTTTTTCCCATATACTGACTCTCTCCCAAAAATAACGATCAAAGCCATTTGCACTGTGGTTTGTGTGGGTGATATTAACTATTGTAATATCACCCCATTGCTGGGTTGATTGACCAGATTCAGGAAGCACGTGATTTACCCACGAGATCCTTCAATTCAGACTCTGTTCTATCATCTAAAGGTATGACCATAATTTTTATTCCGCTGCGTTATACTTTGTTTACATTGGTATCAGAGCGTTAATGGATATTTTCGTGTTTCCTTTAATCATGTGTATAATTTTATATGTATATGTATACATTATATACATGAATATTTGTAAAGGAGAAAAAAATCTACTTTTATCATATTAAGAGCATAAATATATTTTTTTTATGTTCATTAATGTCTTTTTTCATACCATAAATGGTTTTATTTTGAAAAAAAGAGTCCGGCAGTACAAAAATCGAACCACAAAACACCCTGGAAGGCGGCGCGTGGTCTTCACGCGCCACCTGAAGTCGTGAGCTGCTCCCACGCGCTTCCACGCGCTACCACGCGCTGCCACGCGCTAGCTACCCAGCCGACACGCTTGTACACACCCTCACGCACGCGCCCTCCGCGCCACACACGTGCGTCGTGCCCTAAGCAGCGGGCTGAGCCGCATACCAAGCCGCGTTCTGAGCCGCGCCGAGCCACTCGTTGAGCCGGGCTAGCTGAGCCGCGCCGTTTTCCTCCGCCAGCTCGGCTGGCATGGCTACTGATGTATTAGGCACTGTTTGTTTTGTTTTTAATTCTAAATCGCGTTAAATTGCCATAATTTATTCGGTATAGCTTTGTTTTAAGCATGGTTGGTACCGTTAGACTCTGAATTAAATTTTTTTATCTTCTGTAAAATTTTGAAAAATTTTATTAAAAAAAAAAAAATTTCCTAAAATAATAATTCATTATTTCTGGTTTAAAATGCATCTGGTGTTGCATGATTAAGTTTCTGGGACTGAATTTTTTATTGTAGACTACTGTTATGGTTTACTGTTTATTGGTATAATTGTAGCATTTTACCAGATTCTAGAATATTTATTTCTAATTTTATGTGTGTTTATTAGTTATTTAAAATTCCAGAAAAATTCAAAAAAATTCCAAAAAAATTCTGGATGATGTACTTTCTGTTATGGCATAATTTGAATATTTAATACAGAATATTATTTTTTTTGGATTTCTAATATATTGTAATTAGAAAAGCATGATTAGTTATTTATTTATTTATTTGAATTCCATTATTAAATGAATATAGCATGAGCTATTTGTAAATTTACATTAAGATACTATTGTATGGAATTTATCATGCTTTATGCCATAGTCAGTGGGAGGTTATTCGGTTGAGAGAAATCTTTGTAGATTAACTCCCGGAAACCAATATTTTGCGCGTAAATTAAATTAAATTTTGGATAATTGTCACATGTGGCGCAAGAGATGATTACGAGCATAGCAGATTTTCGATCTTGCGACTTGTGTAATATTGTCACTATTTAATTTAGATTTTTGCGGCAAAATTATATTATGCTAATCAAATTAATCCTAATGCGAATTTCTCTCTAAATTGATTTAGCTTATGGAAGTTAATTTGGTTAACCTAGACTTAGTAGAGATGTTCAAATGTGAATAAACTAATCCCATT